GTTCTTTTTAAACTGACATTTTAATGTTTATATTTATGTTAATTTATTCCTTCCCTCCCCTTTACAGCATAACCTCCCACTAGAAGAAGCTCACTTCATAGATACAAAGCAGCTCAAATTTTTTGTGTCCCGAAGCAAATGGCAGGTTAGTAGGCTCCAGTCCAGACACTGGACTGTGCTTCAACATGTTTTTGTTCCTTATTCAGTTTCTAGAGAATTGCAGAACCTGCAGTTCAGGAGATCTGTTTTTCTCTCTAACATACCATAGATTCCGGCATATAAGACAACTTTTTAACCCTAAAAAAGAGGTTAAAAAGTTGGGGGTCGTCTTATACGCCAGGTATGGCTGCATTGGGCAGCGGGCTCCGCTCCACTCCGCACCAGGAGGAAGCCGCCCAGCGAAGCCGGCTTAGCATCGCTGGGCAGCTTCGCCAGGCAGCTTTCTCCCGGCGTGGAGCCCGCTGCCCACTGCCGCTGCCCAGCGAAGTCTGCCGAAGCGTATAAGATGAACCCCCAAATTGGCAGTTGCCAATTTGGGGGGGGTCGTCTTATACTCCCAGTTGCCTAATACGCTGGAATCTACGGTATGTGTTTTCAACTGCCCATTTGTCATATTTACGCAATACAACTTTAGCAGTACATGTTAAAAAATGTTAGCTGCACACCTAAAAACACATTATTATTATTTTATATTTGTATACCGCTCTTCATCCAGAGATCACAGGGCGGTTCACAACATAAAAATATAAAATGAGAACACAAAATATGTAATAAAAGCAAGACAAAAACAAAACAATAGCTTTCCTCCCACAAACACATTTAAAAGGACATAGAAAGTTAATCGGCCAATGGCTAGGTTAAAGAGAAACGTTTTCTCCTAGCGCCTAAATATATCTAATGAAGTTGCCAGGTGAGCGTTCTAGGGGGAGAGCATTCCACAAACGGGGAGCCATCAGAGAATATTATATGCAAAAGGGGCTCAATATGAGATTGCAAATAACAGACTTTCATTGCCATTGGGTTCACTATATAGTTTCCTTATTTGCAAAGCAAACACCAAACCCATTAAAACTGCTGCAGGCTAATGTGCACTGATCAGAAATTCTGTTTCCCAAGAAGCTCATCTGAGCATCCATTAGAGCCTCTTGCTGTGCCTTAACTGGTTTTCTCCTCTCAGTTGTTTTAACCCCTTTGCCTTGTGTTTTATTCCACTGCTCAGCGTTCTCTTATGAGCTATAAATCTGTGCTGGTGATGAGACCCATCCCAGAAATCCTGGAGAAAACTCATAAGACCACCTCTCTTGGCATCTCCCGACACCTGATGGAAGAGAGCAGCTCATCAAGCACCAGTGGATCATCTTCAGACAACGAGATTTCGGCCTCCACAGGAAGAAGGCACTTTGGCCCTACGCCAGGACTTCACCTATCTGTGCTTGAGGGATCGGATTACCCAGAATACCAGGAGTCCATAGCAGAGGCTAAGAATTCTGAATCCTCGCTGCCACCGCTGCTTACAAGACCTAAACAGGCTTCAGCGAAGAGGCAGCAGGGTGATCAGACACGCCAAGAAAGTGAAGAATTAATGCCTCGGGGACCAACGTTTGACACAGCTTCTTCACAAGATAAAGCTGGTTTACTGGTACCCGGAGAAGGGGAAATTGAAAGCACCGAAGCAGGAAGATCTCCTGGATGCGTCCCGAGACATAGTGTCATAAAAAGTACTTTCTACAGCCAGCCTTCTGAGAGTCTTGCCGATGTGCCTTCATCACCAGGCAAAGAGCACAGGAAGCATTTAGAAAGAGCAAAGAGAACCTATAGGAAAGCCGGTTATTCAAAATCAGCTTTAAGTGGCCTCCGTGAACCCCTTCTAGAACAGTTTGAATTGGGAGAGGGAGGATTATCTGGGGATGAAGAAACTGAGTGGGGCAGAGAAGGCGGAGCTGGCCCTCTGATGACCAAATCGGCTTCTTTTGACACTGCACAGAAATCGCCGCGAGTTACTTTTCAAGTTTCCAGCAGAAGCCGGTCACTGGATGACTACAAGATGAGAGCCACAAGCTTTGCTGAGGAGCAATACATTGAGGAAGAAGAGAGTGACTTAATTCCCGAGGGCAGTGCTTTTGAGGCTTGCAGCGAAAAGGCCTCAGAAAAGACTTCTGCAAAGGAAGGCTCAAAGAAAATTGTGAAGGGTGAAGTGCCATTTGCACAACTTGGTGAGAGGCACAGCTTGTCTTTGTCTGCTCAGCAGCAAGAGAAGGCGTTGATTTCAACACCTCCACCTGAAAAAGGAGAGGGTCTGCTTCAGAAACCAGAGCTACCTCTTGCGACAAAGTCGGGAACATCTACCCTAGGAAGAGAAGACTTGGCTCTAACTGCTCAGCAGTCAGATTTAGCCCGAACAGGTGAAAGTGAGGAACGGCGATTACCTCAGACATTCAAAGCTCCTCTTTGCAAGGACACAGTTCCTATTCTTCCAAAGGGAGAGAGCTCAGATTTGAGAGTCACTCCGCCAGAAACAGCCCCACTGGTCTCCCAAGACAGTGGGAAGGGGAAAGGCCTCCCTGATAATACAATGCTGTCTTCTGTCCAGGGCAAAGAAGGACCTGCCGTTCTTCAGGGGGCATTTAAAAGTGGAGACCAGTTGCCTCAAGTTCCTTCTCTTCAGGGTCAGCAAATTCAACAAGTCGTTAAGACAAAGGGCAAAAGCCCAGGGGTCCTGCAGACTACGCCAGTGGGGGAAGGCTCTTTGGTTTTACAACAGAAGCCTTCAGAAGTTCTCCTGGAGAGTAAAAGCTCAAGTCTTCCAGGCTCACAGGCAGCTGTATCCGTCCCTGGAGGGAAAGAGCAGCAGATTTTGCCACAGAAACCATCAGCACCCAGCCAGGCAAAATCGGCTGCATTAAAGGGCAAAGGCACAGCTAGTTTAACTATTTCTCAAGCAAAAGCTGCCCCAGTTTCAAACGCTGAGCTGAAGCATTCATACCAAACACCTCCCATGCACAGTGAGATGAAAGTTCCTGTTAGAGAAGGGGATGTTCCTGCTGGCTTAGAGACTTTGCCTACTTCTATATCAGTCTCTCATGGAGAAAGCCAAAAGCCTCCTAAGTCCTTCATTCACAGCAAAGCAGTGCCGGCTATTGGTGAGATGAGAGAGCCTTCTCAACAAACAGATACTGTCCAAGCATTGATCCATGAGGGGGAACACCATAAACATCTACAGCAGAGACATTTTGCCCCAGGAAAGAGAAAGCTTGATGCCTTTCCTGGAGAGAGGCAAATCTTAATGGCTTCACAAGGCAAAGCTATTCCAATTTCTCTCTCTGAACCGGAAAAACGAGAACTCGTTTATCGTACACAACTTGCTTCCAGTGAGGACGAGTCTGTTTTCCAGAAAGACCAAGGGCCATCTGTTTCAGGTTTCTCCCAAGTAAGAGTTGTGCCGTTTTCAGCCTCTGGGGGAGAAATTCCGGTTACTCAAAAGGAAACCCCATATTCCATTGGACAAGGAAGAACCAGAGGACATGTTCATCAGAAACCTGCTATTTATAGTGACACAGAGGCTGAAGCCCTGGAGTACTTAGTTGATGAGATGGTTTGCCTGTCAAAAGAGATGACTGCTTTAGCAGAGTCTGTTTCTAATCCAGAGGGATCCAGGAGACACATTTCTCCTTCCAGGGAGGTGTTCTACCCAGGCTCACCTGGGCAAGCAGTAAGACCGGCCACCAGATACCTTGTTCGGAGAGGAAAAAGAGAAGGGGGCATTGGCTTAGCAGATCCCTCAGAAGCAGATATTATATATCCTGGAGAAGAAGAGTACTTCAGTGTGCTACCTTCCATGGGCAAGAAAGCCAGGATGTCTTCCCCTTTTGAAGGCATGGGTTATGTAGGCGCAGAAATGCCCATGGTATCTCATTTTGGTAGTTCTGGGTTTGGGGACAGATTCTCCTATTACTGTGACAGCCAAAGAAGTGACCAAATGTGCGAGATCCGCTTAGTACAGATTCAGGACCTCTCAGAGGACATGCCTCGTCCTGATAGCAAGACAGCAAAATATGACATCTCTGAGGTGGAGCCTGCCTTTCTCAACCTGTATGAACTCTATGACATTGTGTACTTCCCATTTGAGTTCCTTAGCTTCAGAAAAGCCCCAGAGAATCTACCCAGCAAAAGACGTTTGCCTATGGGCGAAAAACCAAAGTTGCTACCGGGATTGAAATCTCATTCACATCAGGATAAAAAAATATGTGCCAGGGATGATAACTTGAAAGGTGAGGCTGTACAGGAAGCTCCCAGAAATGAAGAGAAAACTCCACCTGAGTTGGACGTAGAGCCAAAAGAAGCCAAAGCACCCCGGCTAGGAAATAGGTCTGATTCAGAAGGTAACATACCATCTGGGTCTCAACAAATCTATGGTCTCCTAGAAGACCCAGCCAAACAGCGGAGGAGCTCTTTACAAGACAAAGTGGGGCTCTTCAAGCCCTTTGTCAGATCTCAGTCCGTGGAGTTGGTGGAGCAAAGTCTAAAGAAGAAGGTAAAAGCATCCGTCACCCACCTCTCAAGAATCTTGACGAGAAAGTCATCTTCTGATCAGGAAAGCAGGGAAGGTAATAATTTTATATGTGTACTTGTTTCCTTTCTTAGGCTCAGGGTACAGGAGGTCTGAAGACCCGGCTCAGTGATAGGTGACCATAAGAAGTTACCAGGTACCTGAGAACCTGCTATGGCAACCCTAAAATGTTGCTCTGAAGACCACCTTCACTAGACACTTAACTATACCCTACAAAGACCCAAACACACCTTGTGATTAAGCACAGTAACTGAAAAGGCAGAGGCTTCTTCATCTTCACTCAAGCATGCAATTATGTACACCATTTTACATGGCTTTCCCAAAGGCTTAAGTGGCCCTATTGGGTTCATGGCAGATGCCAATGATGTAGAATCACACAATAATAGAACTGTAGAGCTGAAAGGGATTCTCATCAAAGTCCAAGCACCTGCAATGCAGCTGAGCCATACAGGAATCAAACCTGCAACCTTGGTGTTATCAGACCATGTTCTAACCAACTGAGCTATCCAGGCTGCCCTAAAAATGTATATACAGTCATACCTCGGGTTACAGACGCTTCAGGTTGCGTTTTTTCAGGTTATGGACGGCTGAAACCTGGAAGTACTGGAACGGGTTACTTCCGGGTTTCGACAGTCATGCATGCACAGAAGCGCTAAATCGCGCCTTGCGCATGCACAGAAGCTCTGAATCGCAACCCGCACATGCTCAGACGCGCCACTGGAGGTTGCGAACGCTGCAGGTTGCGAACGCTGCAGGTTGCAAACGTGCATCCTGCACGGATCACGCTCACAACCCGAGCGTCCACTGTATATATAAATATCTAGTTAAATCACTAATCCCTAAAGCGCCCATCACTTGATTGTCTTTACAGTGGTTCATTTCATTTTCAACAGGCTCAGAGGAGCGGAAGGGTGAGCTACAAGAAAGAACATCTTTGACAGAGGCTTCTGGAGGATCGAAAAAGAAAACAGGGTTCCCTTCATTCACTCTTCCAAGCCTCAAAACAAAGGAGAAAGGTACTATCACGGTGTTTGATTGTTTGTTTGTTTGTTGCATTAAAACTAGAACCTGGGGAAGCACAGCATGAAAACTGTAGAAACGTTGTACGATTGAAGCTTCTTTATTAAATTAAAAAGGTAAAAGGTAAAGGACCCCTGACAGTTAAGTCCAGTCACGGATGATTCTGGGGTTGTGCCGCTCATCTCGCTTTACTGGCTGAGGGAGCCGGCGTTCATCTTCCGGGTCATGTGGCCAGCATGACTAAGCCGCTTCTGGCGACACCAGAGCAGCGCACGGAAACGCCATTTACCTTCCCACCGAAGCGGTACCTATTTATCTACTTGCACTTTGACATACTTTCGAACTGCTAGGTTGGCAGGAGCTGGGATTGAGCCACGGGAGCTCACCCCGTCGCAGGGATTCGAACCGCCGACCTTCCGATCGGCAAGCCCTAGGCTCAGTGGTTTAGTCCACAGTGCCGCCCGCGTCCCCTTTTATTAAATTAGTCATAGTACAAATTGCACCAACACAAAGGACCAGCTAGGATTGCAACCTGGAGATCTGGAAATGGGAGAGAATGCAGCTTACTCCTCTGGTTCTCTCTGTAGATTTAGAAATGTGTGCTAGAGAAGGTAAAACCCAACGCATTTCAGGTATCTGCTTTCTGCCTCACTGATCTGTGTTCTCTAAAGTTCTCTTCCTTTTCAGCACCTTCTTTTGCGGAAGAGCTCACTGACCAGACCATTGCCTTGGGGCAGTCTCTGACACTGTCCTGCCGGACATCTGCCCATTCATCACCCAACGTCGAATGGTTCAAAGGTGATGTAACCTCCACACCTGTCCACCTGCGATGAATCTGTAACAGGGATGGTTTGGGGGTAAAGCAAGGAGGGAACGGCAGGACCATTTCTCTATTTACTAGACCCTTTTCTTCAACAAATCCCTTCCCACACTTTAACATGTGCATTACATGTGCATGATCAGGGATGCTATGGTGGGAGAAAGAGAGTAGTGAATGAATGAGGTGGGAGGGGAAGCCAGAATTTCCCTACCTGAAATATGCACAATTAGGCAGGCACCTTTGCTATATTGTTTTAGATACCTCCTGAACCTTTTGTTTTGGCACATCTACCCAGGCTTATAATATAATTACCTATATGTCTTTAAAAAATTTGGTAGTTTCTCTTTCTTTTCATTCTTCTTCTTGATTTATTTTTATTAGTTTTTAATTTTAGTTTTATGCATATATTTGTTTTCGCTTAGTCTGAATCTTAGCCGTTATTAGTCTTCCAGTTTTGTATACCACTTGGAGAACTGCTTGATCAAGTAGCTTATAAATTTCCTATTTAAATAAATCTAGAGCCTATAAAAGGAAAGGCTGCTCAAAAGGATAGCTATTTTGTTATCAAGTGGTTACAGGCACTGTCATCCATCCCAGCCAGAGGAAAGAAATCATCCTTTATTCTGAACCCAGAAACCAAGAGGGAAAAGGAAGGATTCCCATTTCTTTTCAAACCTCATGGCTTCCAGGCCTACTCTAGAGGAGAGTCGCTCCCACCCTCTGCACCCTACATTCTAGGGCTGACATAGTGCCTCTACTCAAGATTCTTCACATACATCTCTCTGTGATTTCATAAGAGGTTCATCTAACCTTGACCCATTCCTTTATATTTTTGTATTTCATTTCAACCTTCCAGATGGAGCAGCCATTCGTAGTACGGACAGGATCCTGATCTCCTCTACGCTCAAACACTTCCAGCTTTTAACAATATTAGCAGCCACATCCAATGATTTTGGCACTTATACATGTGTAGCCACCAATGCCCAGGGCACAGTTTCCACCTCCTGTGTAATAAGGAAAGCAGGTAAAGGAACAAATTATTTCCCCTTTGATCCTTTGAACTTGTAGCATAGCATTTCCCAATTGATCTTTGGCAGGAAAGTCCTAGCACGGCTTTCTCTCTGACATGCCAACTTTCCATTGTGCAGCAATATTTTTTGTGTAGGACAGCATTCAGAAATACAGTGGTACCTCAGGTTAAGTACTTAATTCGTTCCGGAGGTCTCTTCTTAATCTAAAACTGTTCTTAACCTGAAGCACCACTTTAGCTAATGGGGCCTCCCGCTGCCGCCGCACCACCGGAGCACAATTTCTGTTCTCATCCTGAAGCAAAATTCTTAACCCCGAGGTACTATTTCTGGGTTAGCAGAGTCTGTAACCTGAAGGGTCTGTAACCTGAAGCATATGTAACCTGAGGTACCACTGTAGAGCCTTTCTGCTTTCTCTGAATCAACACAGTCTATCATGAATCATTCACAAAAGTCTTGTCCCATCTTGGAATGCAAGCTGGCATGACACCTCTAAAGCTCCCCTGTTCTCACTGCCCCCAGCCTCCCAGTAGCTCCAGTAAAACGAAATGGGAGGCTGAGCTACAAGCTATGACTGGAGGTCCATGGCTATACCTCCATAAAGACCCTGAGAACATTCAGGCAAATAGTATGACTCTTGCAGCAAGGAGAAAGAGGCAGCACATCAGGTGGGCTTGAGCAATGTGTTTGTCAAGTCCTGGGGTGTTTGGGATTATTACCTCCTAAATAACTGACAAACAACAAGCACTGGCGTAAGATAGCCAAATTGGATTTACCACTAATTGGCATGCATCTAGTTTCTGCAATAAAATTAGGAGCTGTGATCTGTGGATGAGGCAATCCAAGCATTATCTGCACCATGTGATAGAAAATGGGGTTAGGTCTTTTCCCCATGACAAAATCCTAATGAAAATTGCCCCCTCACTGAAAGCAGTAGTCTCACAGTAGGGTAGCTTCTGCTGGTGGGAGAAATTTCTTTGGGCAAATAGTAGTTGTAAGGGGAGCATTTTCATTGGGTTTGTGGCATGGGGCATCAAACTCAGTTCCCTTCCTCTTGGCAGCTATGTATGATTTAAATATCTATGATGTTGATGTTTGTTTACTAAACTGATATACCACCCTTCATCCAAATATCACAGGGTGCTTACAGCATCAAGCACAAGAGCTAAAGTTTGGTCCTAAGTTTACACTGTGGATGGCTTCATTCTACCAGTCACAGGCTTAAATTTTGTCTTCCACTTTGACAGAGACACCTTCGAACCCACCGTCTCCTGATATTGTTGAGGTTCTTGAGGATGGAGTGGAGTTGGCCTGGAAGCCAGTGGAACTGAACACTCCCGTTACTTACTCTGTACTGTGCAAAAAAGATGGTAAACAAATGAGAACTCATTGTACAAACTGCTTCCTTGTACAAACTGACCCTTCCAGCTATGATTCTAGGATTCAGCCTGGGGTTTCTGTAGGAAGGTATTTCCTGCATTGTCAGGGTGGAGCTGTGGGTTAAACCACAGAGCCTAGGGCTTGCTGATCAGAAGGTCAGTGGTTCGAATCCCTGTGGCGAGGTGAGCTCCTGTTGCTCGGTCCCGGCTCCTGCCAACCTAGCAGTTCAAAAGCACGTCAAAGTGCAAGTAGAGAAATAGGTACCGCTCCGGCAGGAAGGTAAACGGTGTTTCCGTGCGCTGCTCTGGTTCGCCAGAAGCAGCTTAGTCATGCTGGCCACATGACCCGGAAGCTGTCTGCGGACAAATGCCGGCTCCCTCGGCCTATAGAGCGAGATGAGCGCCGCAACCCCAGAGTCGTCTGCAACTGGACCTAACGGTCAGGGGTACCTTTACCTTTACCTTTACTAGAAACATTGCTGAGGCATCTCCCAGGCCCCACCACAACTACAGAATCATAAAATAACCTGGAGCAGTCTAATCCACTGCCACAACCCAGGTATCATAAGGTCAAGCCATAAAATAATATAATCTTAGAGTAGGAAGGGACACAAGGGTCTTCAAGTCCAACCCTCTGCAATGCAGGAATCTCAGCTAAAGCATCCATGACAGGTGGCCATCCAACCTCTGCCTTAAAATTCCAAATAAGAAACTATATGGAACTTGCCGAACTGACTGGGAGACTCCGGGACCAGAGAGAAGAGACAGTGGAAGAAGATTGGGAAAAGTTTAAAGAATATTTGAAAAAAAATATGTTAATATTTAAATCTTAGAATAGCTTTGGAAGTGGATATAGGCTGTAGGGTTAGAAGTAGAAGATAGTGTATTTTAAAATAGTATTGTATGTGAGGGATAAAATGTGAAGATTTTTATGGTAAAAGTAAGTGTGATAAAAAATTAAAAATTATGATATATGTAAACTGCTAAAGATGAGGTAAAATGAAAATCAGACAGGGGGGACTTGGGGAAGCTCACCTAACAATGTTTAGAAAAAACAAGGATAAGACAAGAATTTGTTTGCATTGTTTGTTTTCTCTGTTTGTGTTGTTTATTTGTCTTATAAAATGAATAATTTTTTTTGGGGGGGGGGAATGAAAAATAAAATTGCTATGAAGGAGAGTCCATAACCTCCCGAGGGAGACTGTTCCACTGTTGAACAGCTCTTACTATCAGCTGTATTTAGTCAGAATCTCCTTTCTTGTAAC